TCAAGCCCAAGGACCCGAGTTTGATCCCTGGTAGAACAAAAACAAAAAACCTCCTTTCTGTGTCCCCCTTGTCATCCAGCCTTTTTCCTGGTCCATTCTTCCAATGAGGCTCTTACCTGCTCCCAAATTCTTTTCCCCCTTGTCCTTTGTCTCATGGAGCCAATCAGTTCTGCCTTCCCCACACTCCTCCCAGACCGCCAAAAGAATCCTAGGAAAGCCACTTCTATCCCTGACTGGCTGCCTCCACTGGGCTTGTCACTGTTTGGAAATCTGCTACCTTTCTCTGGAGTTGTGCGCTCTTGGCATTTCTGCGAACCTCACTTCCCCTCCTCATCTTTTCCTCAAACCTTGCATCTCTCCTTCTTACTCACTCTCTTAAGAGAAAACAGAAACCATACTGTGGGAGCAACCTCAACTTCCTGCTCTTCAGGCCAACCTGCCTCTCTACCCATTATCTCTGCTTCCTTCCTGTGACTGTTCAGTGGAGGATCCTCTGTGTTTCAGAGGTTCCTTCCTCTCTCCCGTCCTACCCGCCCTGCTTTCGAAGGATTTTTCCATCTCTCCATTTTCAACTTCTTCCCTCGCAGCGGCCCAGTGTTCTGACAGAACTCTGCACACCTGTCATCCTCCTTTCACCGCCCCCATGACCGCCACCCATCTCCCGCTCCACCTGACCTCACATGCTCTGGATTAGGCCCACAAGGGCCCCGTGTGCCACCCAACCTGATGGCCCTACAGCACCCGATTCAACTCGCTACTGTCGCGGAGGATCACCATGAGTTCCAGCAAACCTGGGCTACACGGTGAGCTCAAGGCCAGCCTGAACGACATAGCGAGTTATAATGAAATTGTATGGTGAATTGTATGATGTTTGTTTCCTCCACAGCTGTTAAATCCATGTGGACAGGGACAGTGTCCGCCTCACTCGCTGCTCTTCCCTTGGCACCACACAAAGTACCTGAGACACCAGGTTCTGAGTAAATACGTGTGTGCCTTGTAAGAGCTCTGATTTCTGCTCTTTTGGTTTGGATTTTATTGTTGTCAGATGTGAGTGTAGGGATTATTCTGTGAGGAGATCAGACCAGCTACTTGGTGCCACAGATGAGTAAAGGTCCCAGTTCAGCCGTGGTGGACGAGTCTGGTGGGATCAGGTTGGGGAATCGATCTTCCCTTCTGCAAGCACCCCAGGAGGAGTTTTCCAACAGGTGTGCCATCCTGAGCTGGCAGACTAGGGGTTCCCTTACGCAATGACTTTGTGGAACGTTTTTTCCCCCCTCAAATAAAGGGAGGGAAAAAGCAGGGCAGCAGGCTGTGCTGTCCCTAAAAAACGAAAGATGTTTAACACCATTTTCTTCAAATGCCCCTTTTACCCCTCCAAGGCTCTTAGCAAGTCAAAGGAACACTACAAATAGACAGGGACCAAAATGTCCAGATTAGTGTAGCCCACAGGACACTGAAATCCACAGACTGGGCTTCTCTGAGGGGGTTACCTTCTTGCCCGTGTGCTAAGTTAGCCGTTCCTTAACATACAGCAAAGCAAAGCTGCATGCTACTCTGTAACCCTCTGCTGAGCCACTCACCTAGGCAGCCTCCACTCAACCCCCAGGGTTGCCGTAGGGGTACACATCCCTCCTGGGTTAGGCGGAGAGGTGCTGTGGCTGTGCAGGTCCCCCTGAGGAATGTGGATTTGCTGGGAATACTGCTGCTGTGTACACCACCCTCCACCCACACTACCCTCCCCACTACCCTCCACCCCTGGAAGATTTGCTGGGCAGAGTATTCCCCTATAATCCCAGCACTCTGGGAGGCTGAGTCAGGAGGATCACCACCTCCAGCTCAGTCTGGGCAAATTAGTGACTTAAGAGATCCTATCTCTAAATTAAAAAAAAGGAGAGGAGGCTGGGTATGTAGCTCAGTGAAAATGCCCTGGGTTCAATCCCCAGAATCTCTCTGTCTCTCTCTGTCTCTCTGTCTCTCTGTCTCACACACACACAGAAATGCACACACCCCTTGGGGACCTGTCCATTCTCATTTCTGTGGACACTTCCTCATTTGTAAGTCACAAAGGCCCTTTGCCTCTGTTAGCACCTCTTACTAAGACTTAATAAACCTTCTCTCTCACCAGCTGATTTCTTCTGTCTTTCTACAGCCTACTGCCCTGCCCCGCACCCAGGCTGTGGAGGAGACATAGGCTGAATTCTTGTATGTCAACTTGCTAGCAGATAAGCACTAACGACAGAATGAACTTACATGAACAAAGTCTAGTGTTGGATCAAATAAAGCTTTCTGCGTGGTTAGTCTAATGTACATGTGACGATCATTGCTCTGAATGGCAAAACAACATCTACGGTAAGCGGTTCATGGGATTTATGCAACGCTAATGACTATAATTTTTACTTTTTCTTTTTTAACTTCACCCTGCCAAAGCATTTCTGAGAACAACTTCAGGAAATTGAAAGGAGACAGTCAGAAATGTTCTGTCCTTTCTTTCCTTCCCAAGTACAAGGATGTCGTTTTCTCTTTCTACCCAGAAAGAGTGGGTAGGACGGCGGAGGTATTTTAAGGAAAGGTCCTGGTCTAGTGACTGGCACAAGTGCAAGGCCAGTCCAGCCTTGTTTGGCACGATGTTTGGCACCTACCTGTCCAGTGAGGATTTGCCCTGATGTCAGGGGGTAGACTTACTTTTGTCAGGCATTTACATTCGTGCCTTTATTTCTCATGCCATCTTGACGGCATGATGTTGTGCACATCACAGACACAGGAGGCATCAAGGGTATGCAGTTGGGAGGTACATGGCAGCCCTGGGCTTGGTGGCGATGTCCGTCCGCCTCCAGCAGCTGCACGTGTCACCCTGTGCTGTGGCGTGAGAGGTTCGCTGCGCAACTTCTGCTCAGGTCTTTTATTTCCTCTGTGTCTCCTGCAGTCAGGGTGCTGGGCAGGTTTCTGGAAGCTCCAGCTCAGTGGGAGAGGGGGGCCTGTATGCAGGTGGCCCAGAAGCCATCTGGAAGCTCACTGGTGTACAGTCTGGTGGCACAGATCCTTCACCCCCCACCCCAGCACAGGTTTTCTGGCTTCTACCACTGGCCTTTGGGCTTTCCCAGTGCAGATTCTTGAAACAGACAAGCATGAAGCATTGTCGTGGGCTTCCAGCCCTGAGGACACTGCCTTGGGCTCCAGGCCTTCAGCTGGACTTGTGTGGGACATTGTGTGGGGTCCAGGCCCTTGGCTGGATTCTTCAGGTCTGTAGCATGTGGTTAGGTCTCCTGCACTCCTCTGGATCTGAGGTTTTGGGTGACTATTATAAAATGACCCGACAGATTATGTGTCCTGTATGAAATCTATCCCCTTGCCAACCCGGACTACAACATGAGGTACTCCTTGAGATTAATCTATGATCAATTCATGGGGTTTAAAGAGTTGGATTCAAACAGTAGTTAAAAAAAACCCTTGAAATTCAAACTGATCTATAGAATGTTAGATCATTGACCCCAATAAAAAGCAAAAATAATCTTGAAAAATACTCACATGTGACTGAACTTATTGAAAAAAAAAAAACAACTCCTATTGTAGGAAATAGTAATAACAATACCTTGTAGTTTGTCTGGTAAGTCATACTTCGTATGTACCAGCAAATGAACATATACCTACACATTCAAGGTAAGTTCTCAGAAAAGGGCAGCTATTGTTAGGTTGGCTATGCAGCTTTTGCAGATGTGTCTCTGTTTCGGATGCCCACATCCCCTGAGTGAGTCGCTGCCTTCCCACGGGCATTGGTGGGCATTGCCTGGCAGTGAGCATCTGGGCTGAGGGACTCGTGACTTTTTATTTAGCTGAAGAGACAGATTCTGTCCCTCCCTCCTCATCTGAATCACGCCTCCATTCTTAACCTTAACCTTTCATCTCAGAATTTTGGCTTTGATGCTTCCCACTTCCTTCCTATGGTTACTTTAATCGAAGTGAGTCAGGTCTTACTGAAAAAACGACCACAGCTGTCAGCTCCCACCTGCTCCTGGCCAGTGCTGCTCGGTTGCAGCGTGAGAGGGGTTGGTTTTTTCTCAGCCCATTCTTTCCCCCCACCCTCCATGTCACGGGCTTTGCACAGGGCTTCCCCAGCCTCCGTGTCCCTTCACAGACCAGTCAGAAGCCAATCTTATGTGTTGGTGGCTCAGGGAGGGCACAAAAACAGTGGCTGCTCAAGTCCTTGGGGCCCACGCTGAATGGACCAGTTTGCCTATATTCTATTCACGTGGATCTAGCCCTGTTGCCTCTGATCTCAGCTGAGAGGACTTGGTAGTAGTAGACTCTGGTTGTGATTACCAAGAGCAACCACCTCTGTTCAGTGGGATCTTCTCTCAGTGCTGGAAGCCATGCCAGCCCTTTCTCCTGATCATCAGGCTAACCCAGGCAAGCTCGTATTCATGCTCTGGATCTTTTAAGCTTGAAGAAACAAAAACAAAGACTCCCAAACAAACTGCAGCTTTCTGGCTTTTGTATGTATAGAATCACCTTTTGTAGCCTTAAAAGTCAACACAGTCAGCCAGGAATAGTGGTGTACACATGCAGTCCCAGCACTCTGCAAGGTTGAGGTAGGAGGATCACAAGTTTGAGCTCATCCTGGGCAATTTGGCTACTATGAAAAAAAAAAAATCCAGCATGATTTTTAAGGAATTAGGGTTACATCTTAAAGGATGGAGGTATGGGGAGACCATGGTCGTGCTTGCTGTTGGCTTTAGAGTTAGAATCCTGATCATGTTTGGAGCTGCCTCTGTCTCCTGGAGAGGTTGCAGGCTCCCTTTTCTGGAAGGCAGAGTCCATTTCTGCAGTCTTCTCCACATCCTGGAAGCTTCACGGGGACACTTTTAGCCAGACAGGACTCAGATGACACAACATGATTTGAATAAAAATCCATTTATTTTTTTTCAAAATTAAAATCTGCTATGAAGACAGACAACAAAAATAACATTCCCAGAGGAATTGGATTACTTCTTCTTAAAACTGAGTTCTATTAGAACCAACTTTAGGCCATCATAAATAACGCGCGAGCAACAGCTTTCAAGAATGGAGTGGCTGGAGGGTGCGGTCAGGGGATCCCTCTGAGCTGCTGGACAGTTAGTCAGTGAGGGAGCTCCCTGGTTTCTCTTCCTAGGAGGGTGCGAGTTTGCAGTGCCCCCAGATCCCCAAGCCCAGGCAAAAGAGAAATTAGAAGGAGGTCATGGAAAACAGCCCAACAGCTAGAAAACGTGTTCCTGCTTGGAATGGAAGATTTACTTGGCTCCCCAAGGAACATCTCTCCTCTTATATAAATTAAAAATGTCTCATAAAACACTCAAATACCATAGTGTGTTATCCTATGGAAACAGCTTAAAACAGGTGAAAATAATAAATACTGAAAAAATTATAATATTGGGCTTCTTTCTAAATAGTTCACAGAGAAGCTCATAAATAAATAAGAATGGGTAATAAATATCACAGGAGAGAGGTACAGTGGGGTTCTCCCCAGAGCTGGTTCAGGTGGCCCAGAACCCTGCGTCACAGTTTGGAGACCTCCATTTTATGAGCAAGAGTCCAAGAGTCCAGTGGATGGAGTCGCCATCCTCAGTGCTTCAGTGTGTTGCTTTCTCCGTCATGTAGACTTCTATGTAGTTGATGAAGATGTCAAACTCACTCATGGCTTTGTACACACCTTTCTCTTGGAGCTGAGTTGGGAAATGAGAAACACGTGGCTGAAGCGCTACCAGAGGACAAGGGCCTGTTCTTGCTCCCTGATGCTGGAAAGTATGTCACGGATCTTGAGGACAGCCAAGGCTGTGCCTTCACCTTCAGCTCCCCACAGCTTTGAGCACGGCCAGTGGGTAGAAGGGGGAGCGTTCCGTTTACACCACCACCTTCCAAATGTGCCATTTCGACACTTTTAAAGGTCATGTGTTCGCTTGGTGCTTATGCAGAATTTGATGAAAAGATATTAGAGGAAGCAGCTTGAACACAAGACAGGGAGCCTTTTTAATGTCTATACTCTCCCAACAGCCAGAGCAGACAGACCCTACCCTGTTGCTCTGGCCCACCGCCAAGGGATTCCGGCCAGTGTCTGTCCCGGACCATGGAGAGGACACACCCTTCACATGGCTTCTGAGAAACTTGGGCTGAGAGGTTCACAGGCAGTTGGAAGTGTGAAACCCTGCTTGATTTGTGAGTGAGCATTCTCAGGCACCTTTGGAGGTGTGAGGAGCAGACAGAAAGTCAGCTGAACCAACTCTAGGTAAGTGAGAACTCTTCCTGCTTATTCTGCATTTGGGGAGTCCAGACTGAGCCCCAGACAAGCGTGTGTGTGCATCACGCGTCAGCTTCCTGCACGTGTGGGTTCAGCCTGGACTCCCAACAGCACTTTCTGTACTTTCTGTTTCCTTTGTAGGCCGTCTCGCTGCGGGGTGCAGTCATTTAGAAACCCCACAGGCAATCTGCAGAAAGCAAGTAGAACTGAGGCAGCTGTTCCTCAGGGCTGAGGGTCACGCCACTTCTCAGGTCCTCACACCGTCTCCCCAGGCAGCACCTGTTACCCTCAGCCCACACTCACCTTACTGAATGCGTCCTTCACCTGCTGCACCGCCTTGCTCTTATTCTCACAGGGAAGGAATCGATGCTACACAAGAAGAGAGAAAGTGTTAATGACCTTGGCTCCTGGCTGGCCTTTCCCTAAGGCTTGGGGGACAAGCTGGTCGTATGAAGTGTGGCCAGATTCATCCAGAATGCCTCCCAGGGAGAACCGAGCGCTGTCCGACCCTCACCACCACCCAGATGGCAGAGGGAATTGCCAGGGACACGAAATGTCTGTCTTTGGTGTCACTCAGGGAGCTGCCAAGGCTTGGATGAGAACCCAGCCGTGGCTTTCCCCGCAGACTCCCGGCTGTCCTTTTCCTTCCTGTTTCGTCTCTCTCCTTTACTCTCGGGGACTACGTTTCAGTGTCTGAGGAACAGAGACACAGTCGCAGTTAGGAGACGAGACTCTATGCGTAGCCCTGCTCTAAAAGTAGATACCCACTGACTTTCCAGGATCCGTGAGAAAAGAAGCATCCGTCAGTGGTGCAGAGGGAAAGGCCCTTGGGGAGTTAGTCACAGACACACCCTGGAACAGAAGACCCTGCCCTTCTGAGAAGCCAGGGTCCGTCCTGGGAGCGGGTGTTCTCTCTGAGTGGCGCTGCTTTCCAAAGAGGAGAAGAATGAGAGATGTCCCCTCCTCTACTTGGGGCCTCAGCTTCCAGCCCAGGGCCTGGATCCAGAGATGGGGCCCGCTGGGCCGGTTTCACAAAGAGAGGGGAGTTGCTGATAACCCACGAGTGACTCACAAATGACAGGAAAGCTATGTGCAAATCTTCACATGTAAATGCCTAGCAGCCACCCCCACTCCTGCCTAGAGAGAAATGAGCAAGAGATCTGACTCCGGGGCCAGCAGTCTCGGTCTGCGTGTGTCTCTGGCTGCGCCGGGCCCTGCTGGGCCACAGAAGATGGGATCTGGGGACAGCATGGAAGAGGCCTGGTCTGCTACTCACACAGCGTCGCAGCCGCAGCCGGAGAGTCTTCAGCTTCTCCCCCAGGGAGTTCACGTGCTCCTGGACGCTGGGGTCGTGATTCTCCGCCTTGGGCATCACCTCCACCAGGTAAAACTGGATCATCTCCGACAAGGCTTGGCAGCCCAGGTAGCCCTGAGGGCAGGAGGCAGAGGGACGCAGAGCAGTGTGAGAACAGCAGCTGCAGCCGGAGGGACAGCCGTGTTCTTAGCCACCTTCCTAGCCAGCTGCCTCCCCAGAACTGAGTCCTCCACAGTCCTGGCTGCAGGCAATGTGCTGAGTCGAGGCCTTCCCACTCCCACTTCTCCTTTTCAAAGTGAAGGAAGCAGACGAGCTCCCAGCAGGCCGAAGCAGCCGCCCTTCCCTAACAGGGCTGCGCACGCACTCACGCACGCACTCACGCACGCACGCCCACCCGCTGCCCAGCCTCACCTTAAAGTCCTCCAGCAAGGATTGGTTCAAGAGCGTGTTGTCCAGCGGGTCCTTTGTTTGCTGCAAGAACAAAAGGCAAGTGAGCAGAGGCTTGGGGGAGACCCCGAGGCGCGGTGTCCGTCTGATGCCCCTGTACGTGTGCTTTCTCATTCGTAATCCATGTTGCCCTGGCCCAGAAATTGGAAAGAGAATTTTTAAAAGAAGACACAGTGTGCTGCAATCAGTAGTTAAATCATATCCAATCCGTCAGGACCGAGTTATTTAAACATTCTGGACGATTTGGATGGGAAGGCAGAAGCCTGACTCAGTCTTGGTCTTCACTTCAGGCTTGGAGGAAGGCCCCGTGGCGACTTTCCATGGCCCTGTGCACGCCCTGCTCGTTGCTTTCCTTTTGCCTGCTGTGGACCTCCAGCTCCAGCACTAAGTGCTCTCTCTGGGAATGGAAGCTCTTCCCAAGGCCAGTCTCCCCGCGCCTGGTGCTGCCCTAACACTCAGTGTTTCTGGTCTGGAGACTCCCAGAGAGGCAGTGCATGTTTTCCTCCCCCAGGGTAAGGGGAGCATCCTTCCCCTCCAATCAGACCCGGCTTCCTTTCTCTCAGCCAATACAGCATTGAGCTCCAAGGGACCTTAGAGAAAGTTTCTGAGCAGAGGAGAAACAGTGCATTTACCTTGTAGGTAGTTTTCCCTGCACTTTTGCCGCATAGTCTAGGCTTAGCTTAATTTTCTAAGCTTGTGTCTTAATCTGGGACTCTCTTAAAAATTTAAATCTGAGGGGAATGGGTGCTAGCGATGAAGAGGGGAGAGGAGGAGGAAGATGAGAAAGCTTCTTACAGCTTCAGCAGAATGCCTAGCTCAGGCGGTCCTGGAAAGAAAGGACTGGCAGGAGGGCAGGATACTCACAAAGAAAGTCTTCACTTTGCCAAAGGCGGCTCGGAGCTCTTGGAGCATGTGGGGCAGGCCGGCGGGGAAGTGGGTGCAGCTGTCCTCAGACTGGGTGCCCATGCCTTGGCTGGTCCTGACCCCAGCCAGTAAGACCAGGCAACACAGCAGCACTGAGCTGGGCATGGCGGAACTGCCCCTTCTGCAAGCCTGCCTTGTAGCTTGGTTTTGCAAGAGCGATCCCCTGGAGTGAGCCCTTCTCCTCCTGTGCCCCCTTTTATAGAGCCACCCCATTGATGAAGCCACAGACTCATATTTCCTGGCAAAGGTTTTTTTTTTTTTTTTTTTTTTTT